AGGATTGGGACTGATCTGTAACTGAGCGGAGAGCTAGATTACATGGAAGAATGAGTCCTAAGGAAGACCTATGGTCACAACATTAAAGGTCAAGTGAATGGCAAGGGCAAAAACATGCTTAGATTGTGCGGGCTTCAGGTAAAACAAGATGGCAATAGTGGCTGAGCAAGGAGAGGGATAGGAGGTGAGGTTGGGAAATCAGGGGCAGTTGCAGACCTTGAGGCCATGGTAAGGCTTCATATTTGAAAGTTATGGGAAGCCTTTAAAAGTAAACTAAATTTAACTTTTGTAGTGGTTGCCCTAGAATTTGTAATATACATTTACAACAATCAATACTGGGATGAACATCTTTGTACATGCCCTCATATAGATTTGGTCTTGTTTATTTTTTTCTTCTTTTAAAATATTTTTTGGATTATGCTATTACAGTTTTCCCATTTTTTTCTCCCCTTCATTGCCCTCCATACTGCACCGCTCCTGACAAGCATTTCTCCTGCCCCCTGCCTTACTTCACATCCATGGGTTGTACATATAAGTTCTTTGGCTTCTCTATTTCCTACACTATTTTTAACCATTCTCTGTCTGTTTTGTGCCTACCAGTTATTCTTCTTATTCCCTGTACCTTTTCTCCCATTCTCCCCCCTCCCTCCCCTCTGATAACCCTCCATGTGAACTCCATTCCTGTGATTCTCCTCCTGTTCTAGTTGTATGCTTAATTTGTTTTTATTTTTTTCTTTAGGTTCAGTTGGTAGTTGTGAGTTTGTTGTCATTTTACTGTCCATAGTTTTTTATCTTTTTGTTAGTCTCTTTAACATTTCATATAATAAGGGTTTGGTGATGATGAACTCCTTTAACTTTACCTGCCCTTTCACTCTAAATGATAGCTTTGCTGGGTAGAGTAATCTTGGATGTAGGTCCTTTCCTTTCATGACTTTGAATACTTCTTACCAGCCCCTTCTTGCCTGCAAGGTTTCTTTTGAGAAATCAGCTGATAGTCTTACGGGAACTCCTTTGTAGGTAACTCTCTCCCTTCCTCTTGTTGCTTTTAAGATTCTCTCCTTATCTTTAATTTTGGGTAATGTAAGTATAATGTGCCTTGGCGTGTGCTTCCTTTGCTCCAACTTCTTTGGGACTCTGAGTTTCCTGGATCTCCATTTCCTTTCCCAGATTGGGGAAGTGCTTCTTTATTATTTTTTCAAATAAGTTTTCAATTTCTTTTCTTCTTCTGGCACCCCAATGATTCGGATGTTGTAATGTTTAAAGTTGTCCCAGAGGTTCCTAAGCCTCTCATTTTTTTGATTTGTTTCTTCATTCTGTTCCAATAAGATGTTTATTTCTTCCTTCTGCTCCAAGTTGTTGATTTGAGTCCCAGTTCCTTCTCTTTACTGTTGGTTCCCTGTGTATTTTTCTTTCAGTTTGCATAGCCTTCACTTTTTCCTCCATTTTGTGACCATAGTCAATGAATTCAGCGGGCATCCAGATCACCAGTTTTGAACTGTGCATCTGATAGGTTGACTATCTGTTCATTGCTTAGTCTTATTTTTGGAGCTTTGTTCTGTTTTTTCATTTGGGCCATATTTCTTTGTCTCAGTACGCCTGTTATATTGAAGGGGCAGATCCCTAGGTATTCACCAGGGTGGGGCAACCCAGGTCACTGCTTTGTGGTGCTGTATGTGGGGGAGTGGTCAGGAAGGGAACAGTGCCGCGGGTTGGCTCTTGGCCAACTTTCAGTCGCTTCCTCTGCTATCCACAAGCAAATTGGGCCCTTCTAGTGCGGATTCCCAGGTGGGTGGGTTTGTGTATGTTCTAGGAGCCATGGCCCCTCCAATGAACTCTCCTGCAAGGGCAGGAGTTTCTCCTGCTGCTGCTTCCCCCACAGGTTTTTATGTCCAGAGGTTTTGAGGCTTTCTTTTCCCACACTGGAACCCTGGGTTTGTGCTCTCACTCCCCAGCTGTTCCTCCTGGTTTATACACACTGAAATGTGGGACTGCCTGGTCCGCCAGCCACCATAGTGCTGTGTCCTCCCTGCCGTGGCTTCCCGTCTCCGCCCCTAGCAGTCTGGATGAATGCTTTAACTCCTTGGTTGTTGGGCTTCCATACAGTTTGATTTTCTGGCAGTTGTTATTTTTTTTAAAACTTGTTGTACTTCTATGGTTGTGTGAGGAGGCAGTTTATCTACCTATGCCTCCATCTTGGCTGGACTGTGCTTGTTCATTTGGGGGCATATATTTCAGAGTGAGATTTCAGAGTCATAGGGTGAACATGGACTTAGTTTCATTAAAGACAGCTAGCCAGTTTGCTAACCAGCAGTGCATGATGGATCCCATCTCTGTCCGCTTGAACATTCAGTATTGTCAGATTCCTATTATTTGCCAATCTGATACACAAAAATTGGTATCTTGTTTTAATTTGCATATCTTTGGTTACTAGTGAGCAAATGTTTTTCCCTACCCACTTGCCTCACCTTCCCTTGATGAGTTACAAATTCCCTATTAACTGCTTAGTTTTCTGATTTATTTTTATGTATATCCTAGATGGTACTGACTTTAGGGAATATTTTAGAAATTTAGACTTTTTTATCTTCTAGTATAGGGCCTAACATACACATATTGATTACATGCTACTTTATTCTAAAATCTTTAATTTGTTAATGCTTTAGGTTTATTTTTTGTTAAAGATTTTAGAGAGAGGGGAAGGGAGGGAGAGAAACATCAGTGTGTGAGAGATACATTGACTGCTTGCCTCTCACAGGCCCACAGCTGAGGACTGAGTACTTGGTCAGCAACCTAGGCATGTGTGCCCTAACTGGGAATCAAACTGGTGACCTTTTGGTTTGTAGGTCGGCACTCTACCCACTGAACCACACCATCCAGGGCTGCTTGGGTTATTTTTAAAAATGTGTTTAAAACTATGAATTTCATTTCAAGAGTAAAAAGGGCAGTACAAAATATTTCTTTAAAAAATGGTGTAGGTGGAGGGGAGAATATTGAATCTCACTTGGTTGGCTTTTGACATTTCTAAATACTTTTTTCTTAACCTATCACCCACTGGTTAACCTCACCTATATTAAACACACTTTTCAAAAATAGCTTTATTAAGATGTATTTCACGTATTGTATAGTTCACCCAAGGGTACAAAAATTGTGTGTATATACATATATATGTATATATACATTGTATTACATAAAAATTGTGTATGCACACGTATGTATATATACACACACAAATTTGCCATTTAAACCATTTTAAAATGTACAATTCAGTGGTACTAATTATACCCACATTGTTGCAAAATCATCACATTATTTCCAAAGTTTTTCATCCCAAACCAAAATTCTGAAACAATTAAGCAGTAACTCCACATTCTTCCTCTCCCTGACCCCTGGTAACACTGAGTCCATTTTCTGCCTCTATAAAGTTGCCTATTCTAGGCACTTACACAAATGATTTATACATTAGTCCTTTAGTGTCTGGATTATTTTACTTAATGTTTTTAAGTTTATTCATGTTGTAGCCTATGTCAGAACTTCATTTCTTTTTATTGATGAATAATAATTCTATCATATATATACATTTTGCTTTTCCATTCACCTATTAATGAACAGTTCTTACCACTTGTCAATCTCAAACATTAAAATACAAGTCTCCCAATTAAGCAGATTAAAAATATTTCAAGGCCTTTCCCTTTAACAATCATAAAGGAGAGGTTTCCCTTGCCCCATTAATCAATAAAATTTCAGTGTAAGATCATATTTCTTATTTTATCCAATAGTTTATAATTCATTAATGACGTTAATGACTTTGATGCTCAAAATGTACCAGATTTGGCCAGGGGCTGCCCCTCCAGGTTGGTCCTTGTTCTTTGACATGTCCCCCATTATTTCTTGACCACTTCCTTACTTCTAAGCATAAGGTGCCCCAGGCTCCTCTTGTGCTTTCCCTGCCCTAGTCTTGAAATCAGCCATTTATTCAGGAAGTCAAACATGTTTTCAGTATTTGCTATACTTATTTGAGAAGCTTGCTCCTCAATGTCATTTTATATTTAGTGCCATTTTAAACATTTATCTACAACCCAATAAATCTCAAGAGATCCTGATCTTGTGACCAAGATTCTCCCAATTACAACAATTTTTAACATAAACTGATGAGGCTGGCAAGGGATGAGAGTATTTACATTTAAAAACAATGTGGTTTTCACCTTGTACATAAGATAATGATGCTTCAGTTCCCTTCAAAATAGTCATCTTGGAACCTCACATAGTTTCCCCAACTGCCGTGCTATGTTCTTTCTGCTCTGGTAGCAGAAGCTGCGGAATGAATTTTGCCATGACATGTTTCATGCCAAAATCCCGTGTCAAAATTCCAGAGAGTAGATTTTGGAATCCCCAGATCAGCTTCTAGTTTTCACACTGTCAGTCACTGGTCTTTGTTGATTGCAACCCATACACATTCAGCATTCTCAGGTGTTCTGCTTGGTTCAGGCCTTCTAGAATATAGATCACTTTAAAGAGATTCTCAACCATCTTTGAAGCATTTGTGTCACAGTTTTATTTGTGCTGCACTCATTACATCATCTCCCAAAGCCTTCTGAATCATCTGAATAGTTTCTGCAGAGGAATATTCAAGCTTAATGCAAAATTTGATGCAGATTCATTGCTCTAGACGCTCAGTCATTTTGAATGCGATGGCCCCATAGTACACAGGCTTATTCAATGGTGTCTACGGTGTACACTGACTAATACAGTAAAGTCATCATTGCGTACTCATGCATTCCAGTCTACTCTCCTTGGTTGCCAGGTCACATTGCTGTCACTCAGACTGCTCTCCTTATATTAACAATGGCTGGACTTTTTCCAGACAGACCTCATATATATAAAACCATTGTATTCTAGGCCTCAGCATATTATGAGACTTTTGGGGGGGTCATATTAAAATTAATATTAAAAAAATAAAAACAATGTGGTTTTCAAACACATGTAAATAAAACACACCTCAGTAATTTTTGTATCTTTATAAATAATTTATTCTGTTTCTAGGTCCAATGTTGAAATTTACATGTTATTTTAAAGACAACTCATATATAGCTCACTGAAATAAAATGTACAAGAAATTTATGTGAGATAAAATATACATGAGAAAACCTTAAATGTTAACTTAATCTGCTCTTCTAGGGACATCAGGGCTTATAAAAGTGATATCAATACTTGTTTCTCTAAGTTTCTGTATCAGTTACTTGTTCCTGTTAAGTTCTTGTTGATCCTTCTGAGAGCATATTGTGCTATTGTGTCTAAGAAATTAGTGAATAACTAGGTTTTCCATTGTATCAGTACAAAGCATTACTTCATTCCTAGGCCCTCTCACAGAATCCAGTGTCTGTTTTCATAAAAGTATACTTTCTTTTTACTAAGTTTGTTAATAAAATCTTGTTAAGAAATTATTGAATCAGAAAGCAAATACAAGGTGTCTTTGTATTACAAAGGAAATCAATGAAGACTTAAGAAGATAAACATCTGGTTCTGGAGCAAAATTCCCACATGATCTTTTCCTAAAAAAGACCTTTTCCAGCTTGTTTCCAGACTTCTTTTACTCCTTTGATGCTTTCTTTTTTCACACATTTCCAGTATTCTTGAACACTTAGTTGTTGTGGTACCTGTTAACCAAAAATAAAAATAAGGGGCTATTCTCTGTAAGATTAAACATGATTTCATGTGGGCACTTTTATTATTTCCTACACCCCTCCAAAACATATTTGAGGTAGATTATGTTGTAAAAGGTGACTGCAACAGAACTGTACAATAAGGGTAAAAGATAAAATGAATGTGATGTAAGAATATCCAAAGGGTAACCAAGGAATGTAGACAACCATATGTGATACGAGATTCCTCCCTCATAAGAAAATGAAGACTTTGGTTGATCTTCTTTTACATATTGGTATTAAAATATAATTATTTAATAATTTTTCCTTTTATAATATTTCCCCTTTCCTGATGTACTTTATTTAGCTATGTGGAATAAAAATAAACCTAAAAGTTTGATTTAACCTTCGTTAAAATTAAAAAGAAACTAAAGGTCACAATACATTTGATGAGAAGCCTTAAGAATATAATTCATTTAAGTGCTGAGTTAAAAGTACTGTGTGGTTATTATCTCTCTCAAATAAATAAGAAAGTGGAAGTTGGACAACACTTGCACTCTGGTGAGCACAGGGGCATAGCACTGCTGGAAACCTACCACACTGAAGCAGAGTCTATTTCAGATTGTGTATATGTCCTTTTCCTATTGCTGATTTAGAACTCAGCTCTTTAATACTTTCTGAGAAATAGTAGAGGCTCCTGGGCATATTAAATTGTTAACTTGAAAAGGTTGGTGTAACTTCCAGGAATATTATTATTAACTTATGAGGTGTTGGATGACTACAAAATTTGTTAAGACATGTTTGCTACTGGAAATCATGTTTGTTCATGACAAACATGACATGGCAGAACATGAATGTGCTTTTTTAAGTTGTAAATAGATTTGTTTTTGTAAAGCCACCATATTTTCTCTCTCGTATCATCCTCTCTTCTGGCCTAACTGCCTACTTACTATATGGTCCTTTCTGGACCTGGGTTTCCAACCTGCACACGGCCTTGCTGAGAGAGCTTCTAGCAGATTCTCACCTAAATTAAATTTTGGGTTTGATCTGTTCCTGTTACTGGCCAATATGTGAATTTGAGTGAATAATGATAATGGCTAACATCAACTGCAAGTGTCTCAGCCACTATACTAAGTATTTTACACTTAATTCTCATAATAATTCTTTCTGGTAGATCCTATTAGTTTCCTCATTGCACAGATAAGAAACTGAGACTCAGAAAAATTAAGTGGTTTTATAAGATTTGGTAGTTAATGGGTGATAGAGCTGGGATCTGAAACTAGATGTGTTTGCCCTGACTGGTGTGGCTTGTTTGGGTGATGTCCTGCAAAGCAAAAAGTCACTGGTTCCATCTCCAGTTGAGGCATGTACGAGAAACAAGCATCGATGTTTCTCACATCGATTTTTCTCTCCCTCTTTCTCCCTCCCTTCTCCTTCCTCTACAAATAAATAAAATCTTAAAAAAACAAACAAACAAACCTAGGCGTCTCTAACTGTAAAGCCCAGAGTAAATTCTAGGCTATGATATCTGAATAATGGTTTCTGATTAGATTCAGATTTTAAAAAAAGGCTAAGAAAAATGCTGTATCACATCTATAGGAGATATCTCTTTACAGATGATGAAAACTCCACTTAAGAAGACACATTTCCTCAAATTCTAGGTTTAACACCATTTAATTACATGTAAACATGTTATTTAAAAACTCAAAATCTGTTACCCATAAACCTCGGTGCATCCTGTTTTTTAACACCCCAAGGAACTCTCCATGACTAAGACATTCATCACCATCCAAATCAAAGATCTTGAAGACAGTGTCCAAAATATTGTTTGAGAGCTCCTGTCCTGTAGCTACTTTCACAGCTCTCTTAAATTCTGCTAAAAAAGAAAACATAAAACAACTCATCCATCATGTGAAACAATCCAAGTAAACAATCTAATTTTTCATAATTTGAGAACTAAAAATATATCTATTAACTATATGGGAACTAAAACAAAAAAAAAGTATTAAAAATGTATTTATATGTAAATTTGGCTGCATGTGCCATGGAAGTACTGTATTTTGCTGTGCACAATGCACTTCCATGTGTAATGCGCACCCACGTTTTTGTACGCATTATACACAGGCTTACTATACCCATGTACAATCCGAATCTTTATTTTTCCCTCAAAAATTTGGGCAAAAAGTATGCATCACACATGACAAAATATGGTAACTGCAAGTGGCTGTTTTAATTTAACCAACGTTTCAAACACTAGTATTTAAACATTTCCTTCTCTCTCTCAGAGAAAAGAAAGTAAAAGCGAACAGAGTAATTGTGAAATATAAGTGTTGTGCTATAAATCTAGAACAACATCAATGAATTTAGTAAAAGGCCAGCCCATTGCTTTTACTGATAACTGGCACCTTGGTTGGCATCATCTAGTGTACGAGATAATAAAAATTAAATGGTTCATAGAACTTACCTAGTCTGATAGGGCGATGAGCTAAATTAAACATCTGCATGGCAATTGCAAAGTCTTCCAAGTGGGTTGTAAAATGACAAAATGACTTGAATTCATCCAGACTAATACTCTAATGAAACAAAAGGGAATTATTACAATTTTGTAGTTACATTAAATAATCTTATGAAATAAGTGTGAGTTCTCTTTTCTATCATAAATCTTATGAATTTCTACCTTTCCAAGCAAGTCTATTAAAAAGCTTAAGATGCAGAATAACAAAATTATAGATTTTAGTGATTAGGATGAATCCCAAGAGATTAATGGCAGGGCATTGGGTTTCACTACAGACTGCATAATATGTGAATGAAATTGTGCACTGCAAGACTTAAGAGTGGTCCTGTGTAATGGACTGATTCTGCCTCTTCAATATTCTTGTGTTGGATAACCCCCAATGTGACTTATTTCGAGATGGGAGGTCATAAGAGTGGGGCCTGCTGTCCTGATAGGCCTGCTGTCCTGATAAAGAGACATCAGGGTGCTCTCATTCTGTGTGTGGGGAGGAGAGGCCTCACCAGACACCAACCTTGCCAGCACCCTGATCTTGGACTTCCAGGCTCCAAAACTGGGAAAATTAGTTTGTGGTTTAAGCCACCGAGTGTGTGGTATTAATGGCAGCTTGAAGATACTAATACATCTTGTTAAGTGGCCTACCTCCTAGCTTTTCTTAGTTTTATCAGTGGAGATACCACTGGGTTTTGGAGTTACATGGACCTATGTTGAAATTCCTGTTGTGCCATTTACTATGGCATTATATATTTAATAAGGTAAAATGTCAGACCTGTCATAGTTCTTGGTTTTTAAAGATCCCTTTATAAATTTGAGACATTGGTCTATTACATGGGATCCCAGTATTTCCCCCCATTTTGTTAATTTTTAATTTGGACTTTGATTATAATTTTTGGGGGAATGAGGGGAGTCAACAGATTTTTAACTTTTAGGTAGTAATTTCATAAAATTCTTTTAAAGCTTTTGGGTTTGCTTAGAAAGACAGGTATACCCCACTCTGTTTCCAAGTTTCCTTCTATTCTTACTCAGTTTCCTTTCTCTTTAACATTTAATTCTTTGATCCATCTGGAATTTATTTTCAAGTAATGAGTGAGATAGAGACTTAACCTTCATTTTCTCAGATGGCCAGTGAATTGTCCTAATGCCATTTAATACTTCTTTACCCAATTAATTTGTAATATTAGTTTACAAATACTAAATCTGCATGTGTATTTGGCCCTATCTCTGGATTTTACATTCTTGTCAACTGATATGTCTTGTCAAATTAATTGAACTGTTTTAGTCACCTATGTTTGATGATACATTTTAATACCCTGGCATTTTTTTTTAAAGACCATTTTTTTAGAGCATTTATAGGTTGACAGCAAAACTGAGGAAAATCCTATTTCCCTGCCCCCTCAGAATTTGTTTCCATATAAACTTCATGAACATGACTCACTCCTTTCTTCTTCTACATCAGCCTCTGAGAATGGTGTTTTTTTCAGATGGTGGAGCTCCAAGATGGCAGAGCTCCACCACCTGAAAAAGTCCAGGTCTCCGAGCATCACATGGGTGGTCTCCCACGCACCATGATGGAGATGTGGAATGGTCAAGAAAAAAGCCTTCCATGTGTGAGCCACAGCGATTTCAGTGCTAGTGTGTAACTGCAGCAAACAGGCTGTTCTGATTGGTATGGCCATCCCTCTTACAGACTAATTTAAAGGAGAACTGTATTTACAATGCTATGACTTTCTATTCAATCACAGAGTATCTCTATAATTAGATAAGTTTTATTTCATATCCATCAAAACTTTAAAGTTTGTTTCCACATAGTTCCAAATATTTCTACTGCAATTATAAATGCGATCTTCATTACATTATCTTTTTCCTCACTATAAAAAAATCTTTAAAATTACATGAATGCATGCCCATTTAAAAAAATTTTTTAAGAATAATATAGTAAAAACAATACATAAAGTAAAAACCCCTTGAAATCTCACCATTGTACATTAATTGTTTGGCATTCATTATTTCATATACATAAACACACACATATGGTACTACATTTTCTCACCTGGAATTTTTACACAGGACAGCTACTTCTGATATAGTATTAGCACTGTAACAGGCATTTTATTTATGTTTATTGTTGCTAATTTTTTTTCCATTTGATTTTCTTGGGTTCTCTTTGTTTGCATAATCACCTCATATGCAAACAAAGACAACTTTCACCTCCTTTCACATTTTTATACTTCTTAATCTTGTTAATTTGCACTGGCTAAGATTTCCTGAACAAAAAAGTGATGGCAGTGACAGTGGATATTCCTGTCTTTATCTTGACTTTACTGCAAATGCCAAACTCACAGCTGTTATACATATTCTTAGTCGACAGTTTAATAAGAAAATACCAGGTACAGAACTTGCACTTTTTGTACTTATTTTTATACTTGATTTTATACTTAAACAATAGAGAGCAGCTCAGCCTTGGTTAGTTTGGAAGTCACTTTACTTAATTATATAAATGTATCTCATGTATTAGCTCATGTTCATCACAAGCATAACAAAGAGCCATACCAACCTCTCCTGCTGACAACTTCTCTCTCACATTTTTCCAATAAATGTCTTTATTTTCAGTGTTAGTGAAGAAAAGGAGCCACTCCGCAAAGTCTTCTTTTCTCATGAAAGTCAAACCTTTAGAGAATTGAAGGAACTCCATTTCTTGGACCTCCGTCTGTAGATTCTCCATAAACCTAAATGTTAAAGTATAGAGCTGACAAAAGTGGCCAGTGGCTTTCAAAAGTCACATCATCAATGGGGCTGTGCAAGCACTTCCGTGAGCTACACAAAGCATAAGTGCCATGGCAAGGACTGTGGGAACCAAGCCCTGGCTGGTATGGCTCAGTGGATTTGGTGCCAGCCTGTGATCCAAAAGGACTGTGGAAACTGGAGGGTCCAGCAGCTGGGTGCTTTAATCTGACTCCCTATACGCAGTTTGTGCAAACTCCACTTGACAATGTACATTCTGACAAACTTCGACTTAAAAAATTAGTAAAGAGGTATTGCTTTGATACAGCCATAGAAAATTAAAATGTATGGAAAACAGTATTTTCTAATATAGAACAGTTATCAATTAATCAGATAAACTTAAGTTGGGATTGACCAAATTTGATCAATGTAAATTAATGGCTTTGCATCAAAAGCTTAGATTTACCAGAAAGTATTTATAATCTTTTGGACAATAACATATGTCTATGTGACTCAATAGTCTGTTTTTTTTTTTCAAATAAAAACAAACAGTCCATGCCTCTGATTCTGTTTTGTCAGTTTATTTTGATCCCACATATAAGTGGGATCATATGATATATGTCTCTCTGACTTATCTCATTTAGCATAAAATCTCCAGGTCCATTCATGTTGTCACAAAAGGTAAACTTTCTTTCCTTTTTACATCTACATAGTGTTCCATTTTGTAAATGTACCACAGCTTTTTTGTACATTCATTGCATGGACACATGGAACAGACTGATAGCTCTCAGAAGAGAGGGGGCGGGGAGACTGGATAAAAGGTAGAGGGATTAGTTGAAGAACATATATGCATAACCCATCAACACACACAACTGTGTGGTGATGGTCCGAGGGAAGTTGGGAAAGGGGTGGGTGGAGGCAGGCAGAGGGGGGGGAAATGGGGACATCTGTAACAGTGTCAACAATAAACAAAAAACAAAAAAAAAACCAAACCAACACATGGTACTTGGATAAAACTGTCATTAACAGCTTCTTGAGACATGTAGAAGTTGAAAGACTATCAGGTTAAAAAAAATACCTTTGAACAAGAACCCAGAAATGCTGCACCTGATTTACTTATAATGTAAATCATGTGAAAAGCATGATTACCTCCATGAACTTTAACATGCTGCAGATTCCTTACTCACATTTCCACATGTTCAATGATCTGTACTCTGTCATGTCACAATTTAGTGGGAATATACATGGGGTGAAAAGAGGTCCAGTCTAGTTCAGTGGGAGGAGAGCTGCCACTTCTCCCCCACACCTTAGAAGCATGAAGGGAGTTTGATTTTAGACTTCTGTGGTAGGTGAGAGTCTGAACGTATTCAATACACATATTTATCAATGCTATGTGTCTTCTGGAGTCAAAGCAGAATTTTATGTAAAACTTGAAGCATTTCAAATTTGGACTGAACAAAATCTACTGATATGCTTCATCCTTTGTTGTACTGTGTACCGTGATGACATTCAATTTTTTCTCATTAGGATTGTTATAAAAATGCTTTACTTGCAAATAAGTGTACAGTGAATTAGGGAAGTGGAAAATATAGTGTAAGAACATGAGTAACTGGTTCCTTCCCTTTTTCTTTAGGCTCTATCTGAGGCTGAAATATAAACTTAACTGCTGATAAACTGTATATTATCTGGTTTAAGCTACTTTCATTTTAACTAATTATACTACTTTTGAAGAACATAAGTATGTTATATGATAATAATCTTTCTAAGTCTAAAATTATATATCTTGTTAGGCCATGAAAATTTGGAATATGATATTGAATATGTGTTGAAGAATTTACAATACATAAGGCCACCAGATGCACTCTGAACACATTTAAATAGTTTATAAATTAGTGGACTAACTGGAAGCTTCTCCTTGGCTGGGTGTTTAGGCCCTGTGTACTGGAGCTGGCCCACAGCAGCTGTGAGCACGGACTTTCCAGGTGTCATCCACCTCTGCTTCATGTCGGACAGCTTGAGATCAGCTTGCTGGAGTATTCATTCACACCATAAATCTTAAGTGTTCTCCCAAGTCTAGGTGGTTCTTCCTAAGAGCTGAGCATAAGACATACTTACTAGCACACTACCTTGGTATTTATGAAAACTCTTTGTGAATTTAGAACACCCTCTACTAATAAGGGGTATTTCAGAAGTTATAAAAATCCCAGTCCTAAAAAGTACATGGGTATCAAAACTTGAGACCATTTTCTTTCCTTTGTAACTACTTCCCTAATATATCTTAAGTCATAGAATTATTTTCAGCTTTAAAAATTTATTGAAATAAAAAATGAGGTCAGATGTACCACACCAGAAATAATCTCAGGGATTACTTCTGGTCACTATTTCTAAGGCTAACCATCACCAGTTTTAAAGACTGAAAAGAAATGCAGAAGAAGAAAAGTCCCCAAATAAAGTAGGAGAGAAGAGGGAAAAAGAATCAGGAAAAACATAACAAAACAGAAGCACTGTTACAGAGGGACAGACGTCATCGACAGCTGCCTGAGTAGACTGAATATCTCTGAATAATACATGTGCTGATAAAGAACTGAATTTTCACATTTAAATTATTTGTTGATGTCATAACAACAATAAACAAACAACAAAATTCCAGGAGACAGAACTTAAATTATATTTCAGTTTTTATTTAAATGGCTAAGTGGTATTCCTGTTGGAAAATCCCGCAACTAGTTGTAAAAGTAAAAACAACAAAAAACAACACTAAAAACAAATCAAACCACAAATTTATCCACATGCTCCCTCATTAACTGCTAAGTTTCTCTTGACATGTGCTAGTATCTACTTAATGTGCCTGTAACTCTGGTGCACCTACCCACTGACCAGAGACCTGTGGGACTAACTCTTTTAGAAATTTTGTGACCTCTTGCACCTTTTAAAACAAACCTGGGTCTAAATATCTCCTCTTCAGTTTCTGAGGTCTATGACCCTGGACCAAGTTCTTTAATCAGATCCCAGTCATCAAAGGGAAGACTACCTGTCCCAAGTTTTCAGGATAGGTAAACAATACATGTAAAAACACTTAAAACACATTCCAGGCATATGGTAAGTAAGTACTTGATAGACAGTAGCTTGGGATGGCCCTGAGCATGTTTGCAATCATCTTTCCCTTTTCATCCTACTCAAGCCCAGACTCAGTTTTTCATTGCTTCTGCTGCTGTCTTGCTCCTTGGGCTTAAAAAAAAATAAAAAAAAGTAAATGGTAATTTTCACAGTCATATACTATAAATAGTATACTAGTGTCATAATAATAGGATACTTGACTTGAGTGGCTTAGATACTATTTTCAAGGTCATGTAGATGGAATCAGAATTTAGACCCAAGTCTAATAAAATTCAAATTATATTTTATTGTTTATGTTATGACAATTGCCCCAATTTTGTCCCCTTTACCCCCCTCCACTTAGCTCCTTACTCCCTCAGGCAGTCCCCACACTGCTGGATGTCCATGTCCACGGGTCATGCATATATGTTCTTTGGCTAATCCCTTTTCTTCTTTTAACCAGTCTCCATCTTCACCCTCTCCTTTGACAGCTGCCAGTCTGTTCCATGTACCATGTCTCTGTTTCTACTTTGCTTGTTAGTTTATTTTGTTCATTACATTCCACATACAAGTGAGATAGTATGGTATTTCTCTTTCTCTGATTGGCTTGTTTTATTTAGCATAATAGTCTTCAGGTCCATCCATGTGTATGCAAAAAGTAAGAGTTCCTTGTATGGGACATAGTGAAAGCAGTCCTGAGAGGGAAGTTCATAGCCCCTTGGGCTTTGACAACCTTCTTCAAGTGCAGCTTAAAGAAAGCCAAACCATAGCTGCACATAGTGGTACCAACATAAACTCACTGTCTACACCTTTATTGGGCCCTCAACCCTTCCAACAGCCTCTGCCAGCATGGAAAGCTCTTTTTCAGTTTACACAGTGGCTATTTCAAGCCCTCCACACCCTCTACAAATCTATACCCATTGGCTTTGTTTGTTTTCAGTAAATGACCCTGCCCCAACTTCCTAGAGAAGTTAGAAATCATTATTTAGGGAGTTCTCTCATTTTCTTACTATCACTACAGAAATGTAACAGCACTCAGAAAAGGGGATGGCTAACTTATCTACCTGTCATCTGAATTTTACCTCTACTCCTGTGTTTCCTCTTCTGCAGGCAACTTATTCTGGTCATTCCAATTCATTCCTGTATTGTTTCCTCTTTACATCATCATCTAACATGTGGGAAAAACTTTCATATACTTTCCCTTCTGTTAGTGCCTGCTTTCTCTTCTTTTTTTGTAGTCAACCTTCTTGGAATAGTTACTATTTATTTCTCTCCTTACCCCCCTGCAATCTGGTGTCTACTCCCACTGACAAGGTCTGAGCTACACTCATATTCTTTGCTCAACTGATTCTTACTTGTGTTCTCCAGCTCAGTGGACAGGCATCATCCCATTATTTACTGGTTCCATTCAGAAACCAGAAATACTTGACTTCTACCTTACTCGTCCTCTCCCATCTCCAGGTACTATTAACTCCTTCCCTGAAATAACCCCTCAGACTCTTCCACTCCTCCCTATTCCCACTCCTACCACCTCAGTCTAATCACCACCACTTCTCTATCAGCCAGGCAGCTGCTAACTGACCTCCTTGTTTTCCTTTGATTTCCTCAGCTATCTACTCGATCTGACATCACCTTCCTCTCTTGTAGTTCCCTGCTGTTTTTGCCATGGATTAAAAAACCTTCACAATTTTGCCTGTTTAGCTTTCTACTCTCTTTTCTTCCTAATTCCTCCATTGCCATGTTTTTTCTTGTAATATATATTATTTTATCTATTAAGTAATCAATGAATTCAGACAACACTGGGTTGCTAATTCTTACCAATTTTGCAAATATGAATTCTTTTCCTAACTGGAAAACTGAGAAAATTAACTACCTGTAGAGAGCAACAGCCTATCATTACATCAATTAAACTATTCTGAAGAATAACGGCAGACAAAATATTTCCGAGAATTTTTTTCTTAGATTAAATTCATTGTGTATTACCAACACAGAATAAACCCATTTAGTACTAGATATTCTATCTATTATCAGTCAGTCTAAATCAAAATTTAGGGTGGAAAAGTAGATGGTGAGATAGTGTTTCTTCTCATGTCTTATGATGGGGGGTAATTTCTGCAAGGGCCAAAGATTAGATAAAATCATCAAAATTTTGTAAAGTAAAATTTGACTTGGAGATTTAAACAAAATTATTGTTTTATTGGAGTGCAAAACAGACTTAAAAAAACTTTTTTTAAATCCTCATGTGATGTTTATGGATCCCAGAGAGGAAGGGGAAAGATGGGGGGCGGGGGAGGGGGGCAGAGAGTGGGGGAGGGGGGGGCAAGAGAGAGAGAGACATCAATGTGTGAGAAAAATGTCGATTGGCTGAGCCCTGACTGGGGATCAAACTCACGACCTTTTAGTGTACGGGACGATTTATTCCAGTCACCCAAGCCACCTGATAAGGACCAGACTTTTAAAGTAATTGTTTTTTTTCCCTAAGCAAAAAGTCTACATTTACTAAGAAATGTTTTGCCCAAGAAATTTCTACATTCTTTTCTGTGAACAAAGATATCTGGAATACTGTTTGTTAAACTTGACATCAGTATCTTTTTGCTTTGTATATTATTATTGCTCTGTAACTTTGGATTTTTTGACAAGTTTAATCACATTACTGGCATTATTTCCAGAAGGCTTTATAAAGACTAGGAAGCCTGCATAAAATTCATGTACATTCTCAATAGCTTTTTTTAATATTTTATTGATTTTAGAGAGGAAGGAAGAGAAATACTGATATGTTGTTACACCCATTCATGTTATTCGTTGATTCTTAACCAGGGATTGAACTCACAACCTTGGTGGATTGGAATGATGCTCTAACCAACTGAGATAACTGGCCAGGGCCTCAATATTTTGTCTTGAATGACTGTGAAAAACTACCAAATTTTTAAGTTAAAAATTGGTTAACAAAATTTTAAAAAATTGGCCTGGTGATAAAAAAAAATAAAAGTTATGTCCAATTCTCTGTTCTGACTTAAAACAAACAAACAAACAAACAAACAAAACCCATCTCTCTGAACCTTTAAGTAGTCAATCGCTGGGGTAAAAGACTCTGAGAAAGTTATACCTGTGTTTTAGTTTTGATTTGTTTTCTTTGGGAAAGAGACTGTGGACACTCCAAGCTGAAGAAGCTACCCGAGAGAAACAGATGAGGAAATGCAAAGCGAAAGGAGCCCTCAGGAAGCATCTGCCTGCTGGGCAAGAAGCTGTGAGAGGCCTCTGAAAGTCACTGAATTGACATGAGATGAGCATGCATTCTGAGTGCTGACCACATGTTCTGTCCTGTGTGTTTCACATACACTGTCTTATCCAACTCTCAGGCCCACCTCATATTTTTCTTGAAAAAAAAAAAAAAAGTAAATGTACAAATTTTAACAGCTTCAATTATATGTACAGTAAAATAAAAACTTGCATTAACAATTGGTGGAGCTGGTATCATAGGATCAGTGAACTGGGCTCCTTTTTTTTGCTTAGGCTGTAGACTTTAGTGGCCTGGAATCTCCAGGAGTGAGGGTTTATTTATACAAGCCAGCACTGTCCTTGGACACATTGTTATTAAACTATTAGGATGATACACCCATATTACATATGAAAAAACTGAGCCCCTAAAAGGTTAAGTACCCTGTCTTAGGTCAGAGACAAAGTAGGGGCACCAGGATCTGGACCCTGTCTTAGCCAATCTGATGCTGGGGATGGGGTGGCAACCGAGGCTTTTGGGTCTAGTGACAGGACAAGTGTGAAGGTTCACTGGCTAGGGGGTGGAATGGGATGGCAGGGTGAACAGGTCAGCATCTTCCTGCCTGCAACCCCTGTCAAGCCTTGATACTAGGTCAGCAAGCTGGGAAGCATGGCTGTGTGCTGGGCTGAACTCCCAAGCCCCTGCTTATGGGTGGACCAGCTAGCTACAGGTAATTACATTCCTGGAGCTGGAAACCCAATCAAGTCCAATTCTGGTCTGGAATGTAGCAGAGGTGAGTGGGCCTTCTACCTCACCATGGGTAGAAAGAAGGAGCCCAGGGGCTGACATGGGCAGGCTGTGCCCTTGTGCCCAGCAATACAGTTGATACTGAAGACTTCCAGGACCCATGTCAGTCATCTGTATTCTCTGTAGCCTCCACCAAGCCAGGTCTGGCCTAGAGCGAGAGCTTGAAAATGTTTGCAGCAGTGAGTCTAAGGGCCAAGGAAGGAAGGTGCCCAGTGTGACTGTCTTGTTCTACCCTCCCCTAAACTTAAATGGGCTACTTCTTCCACCAGAAGGACAGTCAATAACCTCTAGAATTTGAATAGCTGAGCCCAAGTCCACCTCAGATTTTTTGTGTGGAGGAAAGAATAGTAATGTGAATGAAAGGGGAAAAAAATAGAAGATTACAAAGGAAAACATTTGCATGAATTAGAGATTGTCTCTTTTCTGTTATTAGATTATTATAAAGTTGACTATTAGAATTTATAGTTTTATAGTTTATATTTACTCAATTCTGTAAACTAGGCAGGACAGGACAAGTGTCACCATGTAAATTTTTTAAAGACTGAAAAAAAGGTACAGTTGACCCTTGAACAATGTGAGTCCATGCAGTTCAAACTTGCATTGTTTAAGGGGCAACCAAACTCAGATTTTCTTCAGTTCTTACCTGTAAAATATCCCTATGTGAACATAAATATTTGCAATTACCTTCGAAATTCTCTATAATGAAGTTTTCTTTCTCCTCTTTTTCCAAAGAAACATATCTGAAGGGTTGTGTTAATTTCAGGTTCTTTCACTTTTGGCTCCTATAAAAAATGTTACAGTAATTTCAAGTATTTATAACCAAGAACTAAAATAGACCCTGTAGCCTGAACTCCCAGGACAATACCACAAAAGACTCTAGTAACAACAACAAAGGTGGAAAAGAGGCAGCCATTCTGTCCCTCTGCTACTTTGCATAACAATATTCTATAATCACCTTTGCTTACTTAAGTAGGAGAAAAAAAGGAGGGCTACAGTACTCAAAATACATAAGGTGGACTTGAGCAGTAAACAAATTTTTAGAAATGTTCATACCTTTGGTCCAGCAATTGAATTTCTGAGATGTTACCCCTCAGATATATTCATATATATATATAAAATGATATAATCACATAATTATTAACTGTTGCATTATTTGTAATATCAAACACTGGATATATTTAAACATCTTTCAAAAGGGGAATGGTTACATAAATTGCTACATCCATACAACAAAATAGTATGGAGTCATTAAAAAAAGAATAAGATATTCAGATATATTAAGGAAAAACAGGAGAGTGTGGAACAATGTATATAGTATGTATGCTACTGCTTGTATAAAAATGGCAAAAAATATAGATATATTTAGTTATTTTTATATATATTCATCTATGCATAGAATAGCTCTGGGAGATTACACACAGGAAGCTGACAAGCACACATTGCTCGTGGAGAAGTGCTAACTGGGAGGAAAATTCTACCCTATATACATACTCTTGTTAACATTTTGAAGTCTACACCATGCAAATGGAATGCATTTACTTAAAATATTCAGAAAAAATAAGGTACTCATAATTTCTGCAAGTATTTGGGAATATTTATTTGAACAAACACAATAGAGAAGCTAATATAGTATCTGTTTGGAAATGTTTACTTTGTCTGCACATACCTGGCATTCTGTTTCATTAGTTACTGTCTTCAAGTCATCCTGTTTACTTATGATTTTCTGCAGCTAAAAGATGGCAAACATGATTTAGATGTATGTCAAGTGGATTTTTCAAAACAACCTAAAAAAAATGCTATGTTTTTGTTATAAAATATATACTAGATATTTTAAAAATATTAACTGAAATTCTTATACTATAACTCTTAATGTTATGTTTTCCGCAGATCATGTAAGAATCAGAGGAGAAATAGATATGTAAGTATTAACATTGTTATTATTACAATGTAGATCATTTCTTTCTCATAAAGAAAGCCAGCTTACGTAATACAGAGCAAAAGCAGGCTTACAGTTGTAATACAGATAAATAATACAATAATTAATAAATAATAATACAAGAATAAACTGTGTTTTGCATACTCACAACTGTAAACCCACTTTTGCCCACCTCAGTGTATACATATTCTAAAGGCATCATTCTATAGAAACTTCATGATTACTTTCATTCTTCAAGAGAAATTTTATTCATAATTTTCTGTATCACTGAGAATTTATGGTTACATTTTCAAGTTAATAACTATTAAAAATCTACTTATATCATATAAATGTTCCTTTTCCCTTTATGCATTCATAAAGCATTAAAATAATTTAAAGACCTATATTTCTACCAATTATAAATTGGTAATAGGACACTGAGACTGAGTACATTAAAAAAAACCAACCTTTTGGAGTCATTTGTACCAATCCTCAGGTGGAAAGCAAATTTAAATAAGTTTTTAAAAAATTAAATGTAGACAAAAATCTCAAGCTATAAATTTTAATCAATTAGGAAATAAACCTTCACACATTTTTTTCTGCGCTATTTCCTTGTTAACAGTTTAAAAATTGCAGCTGCCCTGGCTGGTGCAGCTCAGTGGACTGAGCACCAGCCTGCGAACCAAAGGGTTGCTGGTTCGATTCTCAGTGTAGGGCACATGCCTGGGTTGCAGGCCAGGTCCCCAGAAGGGGGTGTTGTCAGATGCAACCACACATTGATGTTTCTTTCCCTCTCTTCTGCTCTCTAAATATAAATAAAATCTTTAAAAAAAGAAAAAGAATCAAAATGGCGGAGGAGTGAGTGGATGTCACACTTACCTCCTCCCAGGACCAAACCTGGAATTACAACTAATTGTGGAGAAATCACCTGGAAAAAACAACTGAACAATAGCGAGAGAGGAGCCTTATAACCTCGGACAGGCAGAAAAATCAGTTTTGGCACAACCAGTGCGGTAGAGACTCAAGAAGATGGGCTGGTCATGCATGGGCAGCAGCACCAGCAGCACCAGTGGGATACTGAAATGGCCAGCTGGATCCCCTGAGAACAGTGGAGTCTAAACCATAAGCAGCGATCTCCAGCCTACAGCACCAGAGCCCAAAAAGTACACAGATAACAGCCAGCTGCCAAAAGTGGCAGGGTTGCTCTCTGCCAGACGCAGGAGGCTGGAGATGCAGAGCCGTTTATAGGGCCAACACATAAATTTTAATTTGTATCCACTTACTTCGGCAAAGGCGGGGGCAGAGTGGGCTAGAGATGTTGGAGGAGAGACAGGGGAAGGAGGCTTTGGGGAGAGAATGGAGAGAGTAGCTGGTGGGATCCTGATGCTGACTTGTCCCCCATAAGGCAGCAGCCATCTGGCTCAGGGAGACCATGCCCCTGAGCAGCAGCGTGAGAGGATGCAATAACCCCGCCCCTGGGGGGCACTCTACTCGCGCCCTGTGGTGTCTAAACTGGCCTGTGGAGTGCAGAGTGACTAGATTAACAACTGAAGGAGACAGTCATAGACAGTAGATTCCTGGAAGTCTCGAAGAGGCTGCCTAAGGTCAGACAGGGTGAATGGCTGATATTAGAGGCAGACCCAGAAAGAAAAAACAGCAGTCTCCTACCACAGAAGTTCACACCACTAAGCAGGAAATCAAGACAGATCAATTTAAGAAGCAGAAGCAAAAAAGGAAAGCCTCACAAAAAGTGGAAAGACAAAGAAACACCCCTCAGCTGAAGAAAAAGGAGGAATCCCCATAAAGAGAACTAAATGAAATAAAGGCAAGTAAACTAACAGATATTGAGTTAAAAACAATGGTTATAAGGAAGCTCAATGAGCTCAGTGAGCTCAGAGAATTACCAAAAACTACAGGAAAACTACGAGGAACTTACTGCAAACTATATCAGCATGGAAAAGGACATAAAAACCATCAGTAAGAGACAAGAGGAAATGAAGAATATAATTTCTGACTTGAAGAATGCAGTGGAAGGAATCAAAAGCAGGCTAGATGAAGCTGAGGTTCGAATCAGTGAGCTGGAGGACAAGGTACGAAAAAGCTCCCAGAAAGAGCGAGAAATTGAAAAAAAAAAAGACTAAAAAAGAATGATGAGGTGTTCAGGGAAATGCAGGATAACCTGAAATGTAATACTATCCATATAATAGGGATACCAGAAGGAGAAGAGGAAGGGATAGAGAACCTGTTTGAAAAAGTAATGATGGAAACTTCCCTGTCTGAGGAGAGAAAAAGTGACACAAGTCCAGGAAGCACAGAGGGCCCCATTGAAGAGGAACCCAATGAGGCCCGCTCCAAGACACATCATCATTAAAATGGCAAATATCAAAGACAAACAGAGAATCCTAAAGCAAGAAAGGGAGAAAGAGGTAGTAACATACAAGGTAGCGCAGATGCATTATCCCCTGACTTCTCCACAGAAACACTGCAAGCTAGAAGGGAATGGCAAAGGCCTGCAACAAGACTGCTCTATCCAGCAAGGCTCTCAATTAAAACAGTAGGCGAAATAGAGTTTCCCAGACAAGAGAAGGCTAAAAGAATACACCTCCACCAAACCAGCACTGCAAAATATGCTAAAGGTGCTGCTTTAAGAAGATGAAGAAAGAGTCTATGAATACTTAGTTCCTTTCAGAATCACCAATATTTGATATTACCAGTATGTTTAATACTTATTAGTCTGTGACAATGATATGTTATTTTACTTTATTATTTGTTGAAACTAAACCTGTTTTTGTATATTTCTTGCCAATTTCTATTATTTTTAAAAAGCTTTAAATGACTTTTTCATATACTTTATCCATTTTTTGATTAAATATTTGTAGATTTTCCCCCCTAACCCCCCCCAAAAACTATTAACCCTTTTTTACATGTGTTGTAAATACTTTCCTATTTTATTACATGTCCTTTAACTTTTTTTATATGTATATTACTATATAGTCTTAAATGTTTAATATGGTCATATTGCCAATATCTTACTTTATAGCTTCTGGGTTTGAATATGTTGCTTCAGGGTAAGGAAAATATTATTTTGCATTTTCTCCTAAAACTCCTTAGATTTTACACACTGATTTTTAAGTCAGTTGAATATATTTTGTATAATGTGTGAAATAGGGCTCTCTATATTTGTTTTATTTCAAGTATAGTGGTCCACGCACCTTATTTGTGGAATAAGCCACATTTTCCCCACTGATTTGAAACATCAATTTAATCATACATTACAATGTTAGACAGATATATATTTTTTTCTAGAATGCTCATTTTATTTCATTGATGTACTTGATTATTTCTATACTTGATTATTTAACTGCTGAGACTTTATAATGGATTTAAATTTTTTAATATTTTCTAATGGATTTTGACATTTTGACATTTAATTTTTATTTAAATTTTGACATTTAAAAAAATAAATAAATAAAATCAATCTGCATTTAAAAAAAAACAAAGAAGGAACATCTATCTTTTGCAACATCATGGATGGAACTGGAGAATATTATTCTAAGTGAAATAAGCCAGTCCGTGAAAGACAAATACTGTATCATCTCACCTAGAAGTGGAATCTGTTCAACAAAATAGAGTAGCGAGCAAAATAAACCACAGGCATGGACATATCGAGCAGACTGAAAGTGACCAGAGGGGATGAGGAAGGAGAAAAATGGTGGAAAGAAGGAGAAGGAACTAAACAAAGAACATGTACTAATGACCCAAAGACATGAACAACTGAGTGGGAACTGACTGTGGGAACAGGGGGCGGGGTGGGATGGGTGGAGGGGGACAAAGGGGGAAAAACTGAGACAACTGTAATAGAATAAAGATGATTTTAAAAAAGTGAAAAAAAATTGCTGCAGCTAAATTCCAAAATAATTGCCTCAAGTTTAACTTCTTCTGCTGTGTTTATTTTAGGTAAGTGTTTATTTCTCTGAATTCCTCAAACTCTTCAATATACACCTTCTTAAGGGAAGAAAGTTGAAAATCTTTATATTTGTTTTATCCTTTATTTTTTTGAGTTGACAAATAGTATAATGTCAAGTTCAATATCAAACATTTCTCCCTAATGGTGCTATCTCCTTTTCATTTCTTATATTGGTAATATGGATACTTTAAAAAAAAACTAAAGTATAATTGACTTACAGTATTGTATGTATTAGTTTCAGGTATATTGACACTGTGACTCAGTATATACACATTACAAAGTGATCGCCATGATAAGTCTAGTTACCTTCTGTCACCATAGAAAGTTATTACAGCATTACTGACTACATTCTCTATGCTGTTCTTACTTCCTCATAATTTACTTATTTTGTAACAGGAATTTTGTATTCCTTAATTCCCTTTATATATTTTGCCCATCTCCCCACTCCCATCCTTCTGACAACCACCAGTTTGTTCTCCATATCGATGAGTTGGCTCTGCTTTGTTTGGTCATTTGTTTTATGTTTTAGATTCTACTTTTAAGTGAAATCACATGGTATTTATCTTTATCTGTCAGACTTATTTCATTTAGCATAATAACCTTCAGGTCCATCCATGTTGTTCCAAATAGCAAAGTTTCATTCTTTTTTATGGCTGAATATTTTTAAATAAGCCACTGTATATACATGTACCATACCTTTAAAAAAAATCATTTAATTAATTAATATTTAGAGAGAGGCAAAGGGAGGGAGAAAGAGAGGGAGAGAAACATTGACATGTGAGAAACAATTGACTGGGTTGCCTCTCATACGCTCCAAATCAGGGACCTGGCCTGTAACTCAGGCATA